TTTTTCCCCAGGGCCCTTGATTCTGCGGGTGATGCTGTAACATCCTGCCCCATCCCTGCCAGGGAGCCCATGTGTTACCCTGCCAGGTAGAGCTCCCTGCCTTTCAATAGGAACCCTCTCAGAGACAAGGCATAAAAGCTGCAATAGGACCATTGCCTAAGGCTGAGAATTTCTGTGATCGTGGCAGGAAAGGAGAGGGCCATTATGAGAAGGGGGTCTTCTGCTGCCTCCCAGATCAAACTCCAGAAGGGCACCTTGCCTTGCACGTCACACTCCGGGTCCTGAGAGCAGGACTGAGCCTCCCACTGTCTGACCCGTAGCTAAGGGGCTACTCCGTAGCTCACTGACACTTTCAGGCAGATTGCACATCACAGGTAACTGGTTCCACTGCCCTTCAGTAGCACCCTCTCAGGGGTGAGGCCCGAAGTGAGGGCTGGACCAGGGGCAAGGGCTGGAGGCTACAACCTGTGTTACTCAGGGCCCGGCCCGTCCGGAGCCGGCGGGGAGGAGGAAGTGAGTCAGTGGGCACAGCTACTCATGCCTCAGAGTTCTGACTTTCCTTTTCAACCCTCTGAGCCAAGACATTTGTCCCAGCAGGATCCCAGGGTGGGGGAGGGGACAGCAGCAAGAGGATATTTGTGAGACAGAACTGGCCTCTCGTGCACTGTGCTGGGTTCCCATTTTTAGGGCCACAAAGAATATGTGGCTGACTGAATTCAGCTGGACACAGAGGTTGAAAACCTGCTGTGCGTGAGGAACTGTTGAAAATACAGGATAAGCAACAGTGAGCCCAACCACCACACAGTGGCCTCCCAACCCCAAAGGGGCCACCTTGGCATGTGACAGAGAATGCTGTGGAGCCCACCAGAGTCCTAATCTCCCAGCCAGGGGGCAAGGCGTGTGCAGCAAGGCCAGCCTCTGAGTGGCAGTGAGGGTACTATGCAGAGGGCTGGAGGAACTACAGAAATAGGGAGGGCAGGCTGCCAGGGAAGTTCCCTGATGTTTGGGACTGTTCACCAGGTCATTGCCCATTTATCCCCAGAGACCCTCTGCTCTTTCCCTCTCCCACCCCTGGCATGCCTACCATGCCTATACCTGAAATCCAGGTTAGATCAGTGCCCTGGGTCCTTCTCACCCACTCCCTGACTCCCTCCCTCTGCCCCTGCCCCTGCTCACCCGCCTCACCCCTTGCCCAAATGATTACAGCAGTCTCCTCCCCACATGTCCCAATCTCTCCTAGCAATGCCAACTGCATGCCACAGTCAGAATATTCTTTCTAAAGCACCCCCACCTCTTTTAGCACCAGACCTAAAATACAATGCCATGTGAGTTCAACCAGCTTAAGTTTGAGAACTTTCAGAATGCGAGGCTGGGATAGGATGTTGGCCTCCCCAAATATGTCCTTATTCCTCTTTGACACCCTTGTGGCTTCTCAGCACTGTGCCAGGACATAGTAAACTGTCAATGAATGTTTGAGGTTAACAGATTCTGAGCCAGGCAGTGGCCTGGACTAAGTGCCTGCCCCGCCTGCCTCTGTATTTGGGTCACAGGAGAAAGGAAATCTGATAAACCCATTCATGCCTCACTGCTCCTCCCTCCCTCCCCAGTGATTTGCATTTTCAATTCAAATCAGAGATAAAGACCTGAGTCTTAGTTCGATACCAGAGATTTGAGCCACTTAGTTCAATGAATATTAGTAGCCTTGGGACCCACGGGAGGTCAGCTGGGGAAGAATGAGGGGTTTGCTCCAGCCCTTTCACTTCACTGGTGGGGAAACTGAGGCCTGGAGGAGGAAAGTGACCTGCCCAAAGTGACAGCGCAGATGGGAGCCTGCACTCAACCCACCTGGTACCACAATCCTATTCCATCCCTTAGCACCAGCTGCCTGCACACATCTGGTCGACCAGAGGACCTTCCTGTGAGAAGTGAGTAACACGTGGCATGGTCTGGGGCTCTGGGGGAGCGGGACGGGGGTGGGGGTGAGCCAGCCAGAGGAAGGCTAGTGTGAACACGCAGGCACTGTATTAACAGAGGTGCCTTTATAGAATATCAGCATTGTCATGTTGTAACTGGGAAGACTTCACCCAAACCAGGTCCCAACTCTCCTTTCTTCCTCCCTGGGCTCCATCCTGCTAGTTCTTTTCTTATCCTTTGTCCAGATACTCCTCCTCCAAGAAGCTGCCCTGACTCTACAGTGGAACCCACAGCTTGCATGTTGTCGTAATCACCCACAGAGGCAGATGGACCCCATCCAAGGTTTCACTGGATGTCAAGACTGATGATACCAAGACACACACACCAAGAGAGGATGAAAGTTTTGTTATTCACATAGTCAAGGTCTCTGAGGAGAGCAGGGCCAGCCTCTCAAGCAGGAGAAACAGCTGGAGAGAGCTAGGAGAGGAGAGTGCCTGGTGTTTACCATGGTTAGGGTCTGGGGTCAGGGTGAGCATTTGCACCCACAGCGGCTTGCATGGTTCAGATCTCCCACGGACACCAAAGGCACAGCACCCAAGCTTTCTGGTCAGCTTGTCCAGGTATGGGACACAAGGAGTGAAGAGGGAAGTGAGGCTTAAAAGCTGTCAGCAGTCACATATCAAAAATTGACTCTGAGTCCTCATTACACATGTTATTTGCATGCCCTAGTTTCTCTGCCTTTCTAAGTGGGTCCCTTCTCCACAGGGAAGAATTGACATGATAAAGTCAACTGAGGGATGAGATGAGGCTATGGATGATAATGTCACTGAAACCAGAGGATTTCAGGCCTTTGGCATGAATTTGAGATTTTTCTTAGGCATCGCTGCATCCCAGAGAAACTTCTAGTCTCCATGTCTCCCTCCATCCCCATTCCATCTCCCAGATCTGTCTGGCACTCTCACGCATTCCTGAGATGGGGCCCTCCCCCTGACCCAGGCGCCCCTGCTCCTGCTCCCACATTCCCTCTGAACACTCCCCTGGAGCCTGGAGTGGGAAAACCATCCCTCATCCCTTTCCTGCTTCCAACTGGATCGGACATGCTGGTCATTCCTATTTAGGATGGTCCAAGAGATAACGTCTGGCCTGGAGCCCATGTGTCATCACAGGACTTAGAAAGCTGATTCAGGTGGGACCCCTGCCCACATTGAGTGCCCACCTTGGGCTCTGCCTGCTAACCCTGGCTGTCTCCCCTTCCCCAGGAAGAAGGTGGGGGACCCAGCAGCTAGCCAGGAGAGCAAGATAACTGTTTCAACTAGATCAGCTTCCTGCTTCTTGACCCCAGATGTCTCCTAACCCCCTGAGGCTGTGGGTCACAGGCAGACCATGGAGAGAGGTTTGGGTGGCTCTGAGAGTCACAGCTCAGGACAAATGCTGTCCCAAAGGCAGACAGGGATATGTATGTACTCTCCCCAAACACCAGAAGAAGCGCAATTATCACAGCAGCTTTTGTTTAGCCATGTCTGTCTGTCTGACCAACATCTGCCTGGGGCTTCTCTCATGTGGTCAGTGTCTTCCAGTCGTTGCTCTGCCTCCCGTGAGCTGTGTGACCTTGGGTATCCAGGTTTCCTCATTAAGTCCAATGAGGATGATAATCCTAACATCACAGGAAGCTGAGGGGATGAAATGAGAGTGGTATGTGACATGATTTGTAAGTCATAAAGTTCGGCCGGAGTCCCTTCCCAGCCTCTGAATCTAACGGTGCACTCTTCTTTACCCATTTCCTTAAAGAGGGCTCCAAATTGTACAAGCTTTAGGCTCAACCAAACCTAAATCTGCCCTGAGTATTGTACCAATGTTAATTATTAGCATAAGTGGTCAAGAAGGGCTCTGGGGTCAGGTAGCACAAGATTAAATTCGAGCTGTGTGGCCTTCACAATTGCTTAACCTCCCTGAGCCTCAGTTTTCTCATCCTGAAAACAGAGATAACACCTCAGACTGTTGTGAGGGTTTAATTTCATAATATTTGAAAAGCACTTAGCATAGTTCCTGCTGAAGGAGCACTTACTGCATGGCAGTTTTCTGCTTATTTTTATAAACTCTGAGACAAAGACTCTAAACTGAACTTCAAGGGAATGAGCCTTGAACACTGAACTCCTGGGCCAAAATAAGAAAGCTCCTTCAGCCTAGAAAAAAGAATGCTCATGGGAAATGGGTCTTTGTGCTGCAATAAGAGGGATCTGAGTTCGACCCAAGGAGATACACAGTGACCTCTTGAAGTTCCCTGTCAGCTGGATTCTTCGGCGGAAAACTTAGAGCGTCGCCCCGCCCATCTACCTCCACCCGGCACCACCTTCTACGCACCTGTGGGGGATGGCGTCCCGCCCAGTCTCCAAATTCAGTTGAGCCTGGCTGGGAGGAGGGGACCTTTGGGATTCTGCTGGGCTGACCCTTGAAGATAGGAGGGTTTGAGAAATCGGTACAGTCTGAGCCCAGATCCCGGCCACGCAGGACACTTTTAAGAAGAAGGGACTCATTTCCACGTCGACAGGCTTACAAGGGATACCAGATACCCAGCCCTTTGGGGAAGGCTCTTCCTGCTAATTATGATTAGCGATGCTTAGTTATTACCACTGCTGAATGTCTGGCTTTGCTGAGGGACCATTCCCAGCTTGGACCAGGGTTGGGAGGGTGGGCGGGCGAGAGTGACAAATATCGACAAGGACAGCGATGGGGCTGGGGACGAGGAAGAATGCCCAGAGACCGCCAGACGCCTCTCAGGGACTCACAGCGCGGCGGAGGCGAGTAGAGCATTCCAGCCACCGGCGCGCGGCTGTCTGTTCCCAGATGCGCCAACGCCGGGGCTCTCCGGCCGGGCGGGCAGAAGTGGCTGCGCCTGCAACTGCCGTTCCAGCAGCTGGAGCAGCCGCAACACAGCGGACGGACAAATTCCACCCCCGGCCCCGCCCGTCCGATCCCTCCTGTTCGGGCGGCGAAGCTTCTCGGGAGAAGCAAGGGGCGGGGAGGGGAAATCCAAGCCTTTGGGGGCTCCCGACAGGTGTTTGGGGGAGAGGGCGGAGCCGGGTTGGAGAAGATGAGGGAGGGGCGGTGCTGCCCCTTTAAGAGGCGGTGGCGGAGCCAGGACCTTTTCTCTTTCCCCGGAAGGAAAGCGGAGCCCGGGCTGGGCTCGCAAGGTGGGGAGGTGCGGGGCTGGGCGCGGGGAGGCGGGGCGCGCGCGGGGGCTGGGGAGCGCTTCCCTCCCGTCTTCCCTGCGGTCGACCGGTCTGCCTGCCCAGATCCGCCGCCCAGCCGGGATCGAAGGCGACAGTGCGGACTAGGGGTCGAGGCCGGGACGAGCTGGGGGCAGGGTGCCGGGCACTGGGGGCGGTGACCCGGCGGCTGGGCCGGCGGGAGAAGAGACCCGCAGACCTGGGAGGGGAATCCTGAGCGGATGTGAAACGGCCAGGGCTGCGGGCCCGACACTAACCAGCGTTCTCCGGTGGCGCGGGGAGCAGGTGAACAGGTCCTTGCCCCCAGCTCCGCACCCTCACGCGCTCACGCCCGGCCCCCAGCCCGGCTCACAGCCATGGGCCCCGGCCCCCGCCGCGCCGCCCGGGTTCCGCGCCCGATGCTCTGTGCGCTTGCTTTGATGGTGGCCGCCAGCGGCCGCGTCGCCTCCGCCTTCAACCTGGACACCCGATTCCTGGTAGTGAAGGAGGCCGAGAACCCGGGCAGCCTCTTCGGCTACTCGGTCGCCCTCCATCGGCAGACGGAGCGGCAGCAGCGCTACCTGTAAGTGAGGCTGGCGAGGGTGGGGTGGGAGGAGTGTGTGTGCGTGCAGGGTGCGGATCCGCTGCTGAGCGCGCCCCGGGCCCGCTGGCTCCCAGACCCGCAGGCCGCCGGCTCTCGTGAGGGAGGATTAAGGGGGCGGGGACTTGGTCCTGCTGCCGAGGCTTGGCGGGAAGTGGGGAGATTGGGTGTGGGACGGGGTGGGGGCAGTAATCGTTGGCAAGTGCTGACCTGGCCAGAACCCGTCTAGACGCAGCCCCTCAGCCCTTTAAACCTCTTGAGAGCAGAAGCAGGGGATCCCGTTTCTGCGGCCCCTTCCCTTCTGTGAACCGGTACCTAATGCACACAATGCCTCTTCTCTCCATGACTGAGAACGGGGAAAACTGCACGATAAAACACCTAGTGGAGCCCCTTTCCCCCTTTGCTGGGGAAAAGTTACAAGCGTCCGCATTTCCCGCCCCCCCATGAACCTTTTACAACGCGGGTGTCTGCGGCCATGCCAGCCACACCCTCTGCAGAGCCAGTCTGGAGGGCCTTCTAACCACTGCTTGGCATTTGGAGGGTGAGGTGACTGGTTGAGTCTGGGTGATTGGAGCTCCTGGCACCCGCTCTGACCTCTTGAGGAGGGAGGAGTAGGAGAGGGGCTATCCCAACTCCTGCTTGTCTCCTATGCCCCCCATCCCCACAAGCAGTGACTCCCTCCCACCAGACATCTTCCCTGCATTCCACAGATTCATGTTGAATCTTCAGCCCTAAGTGTGTTTGTTTTGGTTTGAAGAGGAAAATGGTTTTCTCTTCTGTTCTTCCCAACAGCTGCAATGAGAATGAGGGGGAAGATCTAGGCATAGGGGAGAGAGGGGAAGGAGATTGCATCCAGCTGCTTGTGTACTCCCCCAATCCTCCCACTCCCACCATGTACACTCACGTATATGGCATATCCAGTCTTAGAGGTTTCTTCATGGAGTCAGTGTGTTGAGGTTGGCAATTGGGGAAAGAGGGCAGCTGGGAAAGGTGAGGCTGCCCCAGGAGGATGGGGTTAGACAGGTCATGAAGGCCCCATCTACCTCTTTGGGCTGGGTGTCTTATCAGACATCTGCCCCTACCTGGTGTCTAGCCCCACTGAGCAAGAGCATATGGTCAGATACGGGGTATGTTGAAAGCTTTCCCAACTCGGGCTGGGGCCTGAAGAAATATGAAGAAGCTTGGAATGTCCAAAGTCCAAACTCTACCCCAGCCTTGGCCCCTGCCTTGCTGGCTCAGCCACTGCCCAGTCTACCTGCCTACTTGGCCTCAATAACATATAGCTTCTGCAGAGGCGAGGGCTACCACACCCTTCCCGGCCCAGCCCCAGCAGCTATGGTCTGGCCATGGCCAAGTCTCCATCTTTTTGAGACCCTATGTGACTATCAGCACAAGTTTCTATATTGGTATTCTCTGCCCCAATCCCAAAGAGTATCAGATTTTCAATGCTGGATCCCATGATATAAGGCAACATAGTATAAAGAGAAGATCAGAAAAGTGAGAGTAAATAATGGAAAGCTGGAATAAATAATGGACTCTAACACCCACACACACACCCTCTGCTATGAGACCTTGAGCAAGACATTTCCATTCTCTGGACCAGTTTTCCCCAAGGTAGGTTTGGACCTGGATCTAGAGGCTCCTTCCTGCCCCTGTTGGCCTGTAAGAGGCAACTTGGCAATGTGAAGCAAGGAGAGACCCTGAGTCCCATTGCCAGTTTGCCATCTTGGATCTCTCACTAATATCTGAATCTTAATTTCCTCAAATGTCAGCGGGAGGGGAACAACACCCCTTCTTCATGGGGTGATATTGGGGCCCTAGTGGGGTAATCTGTACAAAACACTGTGTATAAGCCTACTTCTTCAAGGAGCAACTGAAGGTTCTTGTGCCAGAGCCAGGATCCGGATGCCCCCTCCCTACCCATGGGCCTTGCGCAAGACAGCAAAGCAGAAGAATTCTACTTTTTTTCCTGGGTAGCTAGAGATGACATTAGACCTGCCTAGGGCCCAGAAGAATCTCAAACTAATTAGCCTCGGAAAGGCAGGTAGTTCTATACAGTGTTCTGCGTCACTTTATTGGGTACCCTCTGTCTTTCCCAGGGGGTGGTTCTCTATCTTGGCTCATCTCATCTCAATGAATTCTGCCCCTTGGCCCTTTGGGAGAGTCAGCTGGGCCAGCTGGGCTTAGCTGCAGCCAGCCGTGTAGCCAGATGTGAACAGCTGCCTGAGTGCATGGCTCAGAGGAACCAGCAAACAAATTTTGGTCTTGTATTCTGTTAGCTTCCGAGTCCCTTTGAAAAGGGGAAAGGGCTCGTGGTCCTGAACAAACTCTTAGTCTGGGGTTCATAGTTTTCAGGAGATGCAGGGACTCCTAAAGATATATGCAAAATCATATGTGCTTGTGTATTTTCCTAGGGTGGCAGGAGGGGAGAATAGAGCTGTCATCATATTCTCAAATAAGGCCTCTTCCAGAAGTGGTTAAAAACCCAAGGGTAGATCCCTTTTGTTCCTCCATCACATTCATCTCTGGACTGGGGTTCCCTGCCCATAACATTGGAGGCTCACCCCAACCCAGGTCCCAATTTTCCAGTCTCTGGAGATGAGGGCAGAGGACCAAGGAGCTTTGGGCTTTTTGTTGAGATGCACCAGGACCCTTGGGGAAGCAAAAGGGCTGTTCTCTGGGAAATGGTAACTGACCCCATCCCTGGCCCTCAGCACCTGCTCTGGCATTCCCTCCTTGGAATCCTGGTGGCCTGGTCGTCTGCCCTTGCAGGCTATGGGAGATACCTCTGGAGCTCTCTCTTTCACCCTAGCCTGGAAATAAGGTGTCTGAGGAGCCTGGGGCGGGGTGGCTGCGGCTCTTGGAAGATGAGCTCATGCCTGAGGTAGGCAGGAATGAGGCTTACATGCTATGCTCTTCTAAAACATGTTTCCCTGGGCAGGGCGGGCGCCTGGCAGCCTCCGAGGCTTGTGCCAGAGGAAACTGGCATAGATGTGGCTGTAGGCAAACAGCCTGCATGTGTAGCGTCCTTTTCCTCTGCTTCCTCCAATGACCAGTCCAGGCCTAGGAGCTTTAAACTGGGCTGGAGGTAAGGGAGAGCCTGATCTTGTAGAATAAGCATTGAAAGGGGCTTGGTCAGAGCTGAACAACGCAGGAAGATGTCTGTTGCCACAGGAGGAATTGAGATTAGAAGACATGAATGCCCAAAGGGTTCAAATATGGAAAAAAGACTAAGGAGCCAGGAGAGGGAAAAGAAATTAGAAAAACAGCCTTGTTCTTTTTTTATCGGAGGCTTGGGCCAAGGCCTCTTTCTCCTGTCCCCGCTCATTCTCTCGCTTTCTTCATTTTCTTTAGCTTGTTGCTCTGGTTCTAGGGCTGAGTCACCCGAGGGGAGGGGGTCTGGGGGGGCAGCATAAGGAGAAATAGGGGGAGGACAGAAGGCTGCAGTTTCAGCTACCACAGGAGCAGCCTCTGGGGAGATGGCTAATTTAGGCAGCAGGATGGGCACAGAGCTGGGATGCAGGCATCTGAGAGCTGCCCACCCTGCCCCCTGGGCTCTGAGCTGGAGTGGGCCCCCACCACATGCTGCTTCCTGGCCTGCCATGGAAGGGAAACCTGAGGAGTACGGTGTGGAGGCCTGCTGGCCTGCATGCTGGCCCCTCTGGCCCCTCCAAGGTAATGGAAGTCTTCCCACTTGGAGTCACCCCAGAGCCTCCCTCAGATGAGGAGTCTGGGAAGTTGGATCTTACAGGCTGCTTCTCTGAGCATCACTTCACTCCAGTGCCACCCTTTCTCTTTGGGGTGAACCAACCTAGTAGTGCCTTGAATGCTTCTGGGCCCCATTCCCCAGCCTCCTCCTATTCTACTGCTTTCTACTCTGCTGTTCTATTAGCTTAGAACTGCCTGGGAAGAGTGAAGGCGCAGGGGTGAGAAAGTGCTTTCCTGGAACTCGGAGTTCAGGAGGTTCCCCAGGGGCCTGGAGAGGCTTTCAGGCTGGAGCCTAAAGGAGAGGGTGGGGAGGCAGCTGTTTGAAAGCCCTTGAGAGGCCATTTTACTTATCCCCCTACCTGCGGGAGGGGCTCCCGGCTCCCGGCTCCCGGCTCCCGGCTCCCGGCTCCCGGCTCCCGGCTCCCCGCTCCCGGCTCTCGGCTCCCCAAGCCCAGCCTGACTCCAGGAGAGGAGAGGTCCAGTCTCCTTTTTTTCTTGCGTCAAGAACTGGACAAAGCCTCCCATCTAGCCTCTTCCTGACTGCTGCTGAGAGGGTGGGCTCAGGGGTGGTCTGGGAGGGGTCAGCTTGTGGGCTCTGATCTGGACCAGACCCAAAGCAGGCAGCAGAGGTGCTCATTTGCATTATTTTACATTTCATTTGCATACCAGTAAGGTCTCTCCCACTTTAGGCTGTGGCTGGAGGAAGCTGGACCTGACCCTCTGCACACCCAGCTTCCCCACTCTGCATACCCACTCCCAGTCCTCTGGCTATAGACCCGTTGGATCCGGGCTGAGAGCCAGAGGGCCTTAAAGGGCCGCTAAGCAAGCCAAGTAGGAGCTAAAAATACTCTGGGTGGGTGGGGAGGGGTGCTCCCTGTGGAATCTCTGAGGAGGGAAGGACCTGGGATGTGGGGCTGGGATTAGGGCACTGGCCCTGCCCACTGTCCATCGATGGGCACAAGTCTGGTGCTGGTTAAGGGCCAAGGGTGTATAGATGGTAAGGGGATTTATTTCAATCCAGTTGCCATTCATGCCCAGCTCTGCCTGCTCAGTACCCCGGGGGAGGCTAAGAAGAGGGGTCCTTCAGCTCACTCTCTCTGACATAAGCAGGCTAGGAGGCGTGGCCACTCTGCTCCTCAGCCACCTCCTGCCTCCACAACTTGGGCTGGGCAGCAGTGGGAACAGCAACATTTCCAGTGCATTGCAAGCCCTGGAATGCAACCTGCACTGCTCCTCACCCACTAACGCTTGGACCCACCCTTTCAAAATCATTGTAGCCAACCCCCAGCCTCCTCCACCTCCAGCCAAATCTGAGCTCCCACCCTAGAATGACTAACTACCAATCCCCTCCCCCACTTTAATGATTGCCTGGTATCCTTAGGCCACGGAAGTGCTGCTTATATCCCATCCTCTGCTCCTTCTAAACCACTGAGCTAATCTGCTATTTGCCCTCTGCTCCAGGTTCCCTCACCTGGTTGGGTAGAAATTCCTGGGTGCTTGGAGGGAGGCCTGCGGGAGTGGCAGGGCTGGTCCTGGTGCCACCAATAAATCAGAACAACAGTGCTCATGTTAGCAATGGCTTCACAGTGAGAATGCCCTTTCAAGAACAAACCCATTTGTTCCCCCCAAAACCCTGGAGTTTGATGGGACAGCTGCTGTCCCCGTTTTACAGATGACACACTCACAGCTCAGAGAGGGAAAGGAAATTGCCCCTTGAGGCAGAACAAACCTTAGAATCAGGCCCTTAGGCTCCCAGGCTGAGATACTCCTTTCCCAGGGCTGTGACTTCTCACTCTCACCTGTCAGGCATGCCAGGGGCCGATGTCCACGGGTGGTTAGGCAGCAGACTCACCAGGCACCCTCCCCAGCCCAGACAGAAGGTGACTAACTGGGCCTGCCTGTCACATTGGCTCCCTGCCAGCCTTCCTGCCGCACTCCTAGCGCTGCTCTGCTCACAGAAGCTGCACCCCTACCCCCCAGGAGCACTTCCCCAGGGTGAGGTCTGAGCTGAGATAGGAGGTACAGGCAGAGGTCCCACCTCTTTCCTGGCTCCCCCAGGCAGTGCATTCCTGACCTCCGGTGGGCGGAGGCATCCCAGGCCCCAGCAGGCCCAGGCCCCGCCCTGCTCTCTCTGAAAACCCTCACTCCCAGGTCCCAGGTGAGAGCACAGGTGGGGCTTTGCTGTGCACTTCCAGACTCTGGCAGGGAGCCCAGAGCCTGAGTTCTGAGCCGGAAGCCTCAGGGTGATAGCGTTGCTGGGCCAGATGGAGGGGTGCCTCCAAGATGCCTGCCACCCAGGACCCCGTGTCCATAAGGATCAAGGAGGCGGTCCTGACAGAGTGTCCAAAGGCTGCAGGGAGATGATGTGGGGAGGGCAAGGGGTGGTAGAGCTAGGTTCTCAAACTGGGGTGTACGATATTTGGGATTAAATATGAAAGTTCCAGGGCTCCACCACTAGATTCAATTCACATGGCCTGTAATGGGCTGAGGAATTTGTCTTTTTAACAAATATCCCAGGGATTTCTGCTAGTGGTCCAAGGACTGTCTTTTCAGATCCTTGTTCAAGGCTGATGACCTCCCTCCCTTGCCTCTAACCCCCTCTCTGGTATGGAACGGGTTATCAGGACAGTAAACCCTTGCAGGGACTTACAGTCGGTGTCCCTAAAAATGGGTTCTGGGCAAACTTGGGGCAAGGTGATAGTCTTAATCTATCCCCACCCTCATGCCCACCCACCAAGAACTCTGCCCTGGGACTATACTGTCCAGAGGTCAGGTACCCCGCCCCCATCTACCACACCTGGTTTTCCTGGCTCAAGGTGGTGAGGTGAGGTGGGGCATAGACATCACCTAGGTCATTTAAGGGCCCTGCTGACCCCAGCTCCCCCAGCTCTGGCTTGGGGGCCCCCCTGTCACCTCCTGCCCATTCTTCAATGCTGGCCCCTGGATCTAAGTACTCAGATGGCTTAGAGAGGAAGGATCCAGGCCTCCCACAACACATCCTGACCCCCACCTTTCACATGTCATCCCTTGGGCCTTCCAGAAGTTGGACACTATGCTCTGGATTCTTGCTCTCTTGTGGTCTATCTTCATCTCAAAGCCAAAACATTCCTTCCAAAACCCAGGTCTGACCACTTCGCTCCCTTGCTAGAAGTCTTCCCTTGGCTGCCCTCCCCGCCCTGCCCTCTTGTCCCTTCCCGTGCTCCGGGCCTCCAGCTGTACGGAGGGCCTTGCAGATCCCCAAGTCACCTGCTTGCCCGTGCTTCCTGGCCCTCGCACATACTGTGCCCCTGCTGGAAGTGCCCTTCTACACCTGGTGAGCCCTGGTCATCACCCTCAGACTCAGCCTGGGTCCCTGACTGCTCCCCACACCGAATCTGGGCTGGTTTGCTCCCTGCTTTCCTCTCACGAGTCACTTACCGAGATGTCTGTCTTGCCTGCCTTCCCCCACACTCCTAGAGGGCAGGGGCTGGGATCCATTCATCTTCCAAACCCAGAGCCTGGCACAAAGCCTGGCACATACCAGATATTGAACAGCAAGCTGTTTGAAGTGGGCTTTGGGGAGTCTGAGCCTGGGTCCACCTACCTCCTTGCCCCCCAGGCTTCTGGCTGGTGCCCCCCGGGACCTCGCTGTTCCTGATGGCTATACCAACCGGACTGGTGCTGTTTACCTGTGCCCACTCACTGCCCACAAGAATGACTGTCAGCGGATGGACATCACAGAGAAAAGTGAGGGAAAGTTGCTGGGGATCAGTGTGGGGTCAGAAGCCTGGTGGAGCGGGTAGCACAGGGAGAATGACCTGCAGGAGCTATTAGGCTTGCCTGGGCAGTTTCTAGTCACTTCCTCTCCAGCTGGCAAGAGGGAGGCCTGAAGGAGAGTGGGACCATAGGGATTCACGGAGTTTAGACTGTCAGTGGGCTGAAAAAAGGGTGTAGGAGAGCTGCCATGCTGGAGTGGAGGGTCCATGAGGGACCATCCCCTGCCCACTGGAGGCACTCTGTACTGGGAGGATGGGGTGCCCCGGCTTATGGCCCCTCCCATGCCCACAGGTGACCCTGACCATCACATTATTGAGGACATGTGGCTTGGGGTGACTGTGGCCAGCCAGGGCCCTGCGGGCAGAGTCCTGGTAAGTGGGCACTGGCTGTCAGCTCTCCCTCTGCAGCCATCTCCATCTCCCAGGAGCTGAGGAAGCAGAGGGCTGCAGAAGGGTCCTCAGTGCATGAGCTGAAACCTTGCAAACATCGCTGATGCTGTATTTGTATAGTATATGTCGCTAGGGGGGGGGGTCCCTTGATCCTGCACTGATGGCATTGGTGGAGGGGGGAGGTCTGGCGCTGTCCCAAGGCTGGGCATGGCCTGGGTCCTGTCTGAATCACCCACTTCCTCCCTCCCCCCTCCCCCATCCCCCGGGGTGCAAAGGACTTCGTGGGAACAAGCTGAGGGAACTGCTAGAAGGAAAGGGCAGAGAGGGCCTGGGGCACTGTGAGCCCAGCGCACTCCCTCTTGGGAGGCTGGCTGGCGGAAGAGGTGCAGCCCTGCTGACCCCAGCTCACCCGCTGGGTTTAGGAGCCACTCTCTGCTATTAGCTGTCACCCCCTGTCTGCATTCTTCACTGCTAGCCCCCAGGGGGAGGTTCTCAATTTCTGAATCCCAGACAGACAATTATTTTCATTTTTAAATTGATGTGAAATTTACATATAGCAAAATATACAAATTTTACGTTTCAATGAGTTTTGACAAATAATACACCTGTGTAACCAACAGCCATTAAAGAAATAGCATATTTACACCACCCGAGAAAGCGTGCCCCCTTCCAATCAATCATCACTCCCGTAATCATCACTGTTATGATTTGTGTCACCTTTGAACATTGCTTTAAGTTCTGAGTTTACATCTATTCACTGAAACACCTTTTCTGGCCTCCTGTTATGCATGGTGTGGGTCTGGGATTTCATTTAAGGTAGTTCTAGATCCTGGGTGCTCCAGCAGTTGTCCGCTTACCCATCTGTTCATTCAACAAATTTTAAGTGAGCACCCACTGTGTGCCCCATACTTTGCTAGCACTAGAAACTTGGCAGTGGCTGAGGACACACTCAGGCTGCTGCTAATGGAGCTCACAGCTGGAAGGGGCATAAAAAGCAAGCAAACAAGAGCTGGGCCTAGTTTGGGGTTTTACCTGGCCCCTGGCTATTTTACAAACATCCAATTCTGATTGATTTGCCCAGTAACTATTTTTCGAGCACCTCCAGTGCCAGGAGAAGCTGTGAGAGGCGGAGAAGCCTTGTGCTTAAGAACTCAGACTCCAGAGCCCAAGAGTCTTGGTCTGAACGGTCTCTGTCTCTCTAGATGTGAGCTATTAGTCAGACTTCTTTCTCTGTGTCTCAATTTCCTTATCTCAAATGAGGAAAATAATGGTTCCTATTCTGGTTGTTAGGAGGCTTAAAAGGGTTAATGTGTGAAGAGCTTAGACTCCTGCCTGGCACACAGTATGCGCTCACTAAGTGTTAGTTGCTGCTATCATTGTTATCTTAATGGTGTTTTCACCAAGAGGGCAGCAGAGAAGCAGGTTTCCTAAACTGGTCTCCTGCTCCTGTTAGACCCAAGAACCTGGACCCCACATTCCCTCATCCTCTCCCCTTTTTGTTTTGCCACACTGCTCTCAAATCTTGTACCTTCTTGGCCTTCCAAAAAGTATTTCCAGAGTATTCAGAGCAGATTTCTGAATTCTGGAAGGACATGGAGGTCCAGGCATCACTGTGGAAAGAAAGAAAAGCCTGGAGAGCTCTTTCAACTCCTCTCCCACAAAGCCAGAGGTACACAGGGCCAAGGAGACAGCTGGCCTGGGTTCCTGCTGCAGGGTCAGGCTCTGAGTGTTGCGGTGGGGGGGGTTCCCCAGGTCTGTGCCCACCGCTACACCCAGGTGCTGTGGTCAGGTGTGGAGGACCAGCGGCGCATGGTGGGCAAGTGCTACGTGCGGGGCAACGACCTACAGTTGGACCCCACTGATGACTGGCAGACCTACCACAACGAGATGTGTAATAGCAACACCAACTACCTGCAGACAGGCATGTGCCAGCTGGGCACCAGCGGCGGCTTCACCCAGAACACCGTGTACTTCGGTGCTCCTGGTGCCTACAACTGGAAAGGTAGGGACCTTTGGGGATGGGGAGGACCTGCGACTACCCACTCCCACTTAACCCCTGGGACAGTCAGTTCAGACCCTCCATGCTAGAGGGCAGAAGACACAGGACCCCCTTTGCCAATATTAGGAACCATCAAGACCGCTACTATATTAAAGTACCTACTATATGCCAGAGGCTTTAAGCATATTACCTTCATTAATTTTAAGATACTCTTATGAGGCAAATACTATACCCATTTTACAGAATATTGAGCCTCAGAGAAGTAGTAAATCACCCAAGGTTAATAGTTAAGTTATGAAATCTGAACTGGAATGCAGATCCATCTGATCCCACTTTAACCATTTAAGAACTTTTAATACAAAACATGCTCAAAGAGTAAAAGCCCCCCTCCTCTCCCACCCACCTTCCTGGTTCCATCTCCAGTGTGTATTGCTAAGTCTCCTGGGCTCCTCCATCCAGACCTATTTTAGAATATATAGGTACCCTTAAAAACATATATGCAGAAACAAAATCCCTGCTGTTCTGCTTCTTTCTCTTTTATCAATAAATTGGACATTTTTCATGTCCAGTGTATGTCACTACATATAGGGCAATCTTTTAGGGGGGCTGCAGAGTATTTCTTGTTAGACGGTAGTTGCACACTTGTACCTACCATGCTGTACACTGCCTCTCAAGTGTCTGGTGGCTCACAACCCCACCATCTCTGCCTCCCTACCATATAGGCTGCTGTAACAGTGACCCCTCTCCCCTTACTGCACCCTTATGGCAGAATCAATAGGCAATGGGAACCCCGAATCTCCTGCTCTTGACTAAGAGGTAGCCCAGGGCATAGATACAGCTCTGGGCTCTCCTGAGGCCAAGGCCTCTGCTGGTTTCTCTGGTCCTGCCCGCCACCCCCTGGGCCTTTAGGACCTTGGCAGGAGACAGGTACTGTCCAGCAGCATCGCCACGGAGTAGGGGTCAGGTAGGCAGCCCGAGGTTAGGGGCAGAACCAGTAGGAAATAATGACATGGAGTCTGGCCTCAGTGTCCAGACTGGGAGAAATGTCATCTTGTATCCAGGAGTCTGGATGACTGGCTTCCAGCCCTGTCTCTACAACTTGCTCCTCATCCCTGAGCCTCACTTTTCTCATTTGCAAAATGGGGTTGTCATTCTCCTAGAATTGTTAATAACCTCCCAGAATTGTTAAAGAGGAAATGATTTACAAATGGAAAAGTGCTCACAAATAAAAGGGGTTATTAGTATCTTTCGCTGGTTGGGGCTGGACATGGTGGAGGAAAGGAATGGTGATTTATACTCCCCATTTTCCCCTCCCCAAATCTTTGGGAAGGAAACAGCTACATGATTCAGCGGAAGGACTGGGATTTATCTGAATATAGCTATAAGGAACCAGAGAAACAAGGGAACCTCTACATTGGTGAGTCTGGTTGTGGGAGCTCATTGGGTGGTAGAGAAAGAAGGAGGCTTGGTCCCTGGCATGCTGGCCCTCCCACCTTTGGTGCCTGGTGGAAGAGTGAGGCCAGGGTACAATGTGAACAATGTGACTAGTGACATTTAATTCAACTAGCACACACTTTCTGAGTACCACCTGTATGCCAGTTCTGTTCTGAGCATCCCACGATGCAAAGTCCCCACCTCATGGAACTCACGGTCCAGTGTGTAGGCAGGACCGGGGACTGGGCATCCAGGGTCTACTTTCTTGCCCAATGTAGAGGAATAGAAAGTAATGGGGGGAGGCTGGGGGCTGGGTCAAGAGTATAAGGGGACAAAGTTTACTGGGCCTTGATTGACCACCTTCGCCCCACCCTAGGGTACACGGTGCAGGTAGGCAGCAACATCCTGCACCCCACGGACATCACCATTGTGACAGGGGCCCCACGGCACCAACATAAGGGCGCTGTCTTCTTGCTGAGCCAGGAGGCAGGTGGAGACCTGAGGAGGAAACAGGTGCTGGAGGGCACGCAGGTGGGCGCCTATTTTGGCAGCGCCATTGCCCTGGCAGACCTGAACAATGATGGGTGAGAATCCAGGGATGTTATCTGGGGCTGGGGAGAATGGCAAGGGGGCAGGCTTGCCCAAACCGGGGCAGAGAAATGCAGGTTTGAAATTATCATTTGTTTACATGCTGTTTGCAGGGATTTGCAAGTCAATTTTGTGTGTTGATTTGCAATCAGACTTTATGGAGATTCTGGGTATTTGCATATCAATTGCACAACATCTGCATCTCCTTGTCTATGCCTGTCATTTGCATGGCTGTAGTGGAGGTGGGCTGTTGGGATGTGATTGGTCTCTGCATGGTTTCTCTGTGACATGTGTTTTTGATTAGATGGGTCATGTTGGCATTTCCATGTCCTTCCAATGACCAGCGATGCCATTTCTACAGCTGTGTGCCCTGGCACTACACAAGATTTATGCTGCATACTGGGGACTGACCCCACACTCCTGTTTCCCCCTTCTTCTCTCCTGTGCAGGTGGCAAGACCTTCTGGTGGGTGCCCCCTACTACTTTGAGCGGAAAGAGGAGGTAGGGGGTGCCATCTATGTCTTCATGAATGAGGCGGGTGCCTCCTTCCCTGCTCTCCCTTCCCTCCTTCTTCACGGCCCCAGTCACTCCGCCTTTGGCTTCTCTGTGGCCAGCATTGGTGACATCAACCAGGATGGATTCCAGGGTATGAGCCAGCACTCCTGCCCCAGCACACCCACTGACTGAGTGTCAGCTGCATACCAGGCTTAACAGGGCCTGAAGAGGAGATGGGATGGGGCCCATGCCTGGGGAGCTCACAGAAGTACTTGAGAGAGGACATGCAGAGGGACCTACCAGAGACAAGCTTGGTGGACCTCCTGGAGGGGTGCACATACTGCTGGGCATTGAAGGCTGGGCTGAGTGCACAATGGAGGGGAACAGAAGGGGTGCAACATGAACATGAGATACTCACTGAATGTGCCCAAATCTAGTGGGTGTGGGGTGTTCGTATCAGAGATGAGGCTGGAGAAGTAGTGTGGGGATGGGGTGGATGCCATGAAAACGGGACAGAGGAACCAGGGCTCTAAATCTGAGTAATGATAGAGGGGTGTCCAGAGAAGGTTTTGGGGCCAGGGATGTGATAAGACAGCTTGGTACCTTAAAAGATGAATCTGGAGGGAGGTGTGGGATGGGTTTGGGAGAGCAAGGCTGGGAGCATTAACATCAAGAATGTAGTCTATCAAGTGTGGGATGTTAAGAGCTGGGACCAGGTGGGAGTCCCAGATATAGGAGATATCCCCAGCATTCTGTAGGACTTGGGGACCAGTCAGACCTGGGGCATCAGAGGGGGGCAGACCAAGAAGTTGAGCCTAGTTGCCATGGAAGCACCTGGCAATTCTGGAAGCCACTTCTCTGACAACCTCAATTTCCCAGAACATAGCTAAGAACCAAAAGGAAGGCAGAGGAGCCTCTAAAGAGCCAAAATAGGTACCAGAAAGTTTGGTTAACTAAGCCCAGGCATTTGCTGATAGAAGAGTTACCCGGTTTCCACTCAGAACCTACGTCTTCCTTTTCTAGCAAGGTTGGCTTTTCTGGTTGGTTACCTACGCCTTATCAGATCCAAGGCAGCAAACTAGAAAGAATCCAGTGAAGTTTAAGAAGATAATAAAACAGTTGAGTTTCGTTTGTGGAAATAATCGTTAAATTTTTAAAGTCTTGACATTTTAACAAGTTACAGTATTGTTGCTAAAATTCCAGCTGCTGATGTTAGACAGACATGGACTCTACTATCCTCTTCCCTACTCATTAACTCTGTGGCTTTGGGTTTTCTGAGTCTGGTTTCCTCATCTATAAAGTGGGGACAGCAGTACCTACCCCCAGTACTCTGGTGAGGATTAAATAAGATGAGTGTATGATGACTACCTGGCAAAAGTTACTCATGGGGAACACCTCCTTTTGTGACCCTGCTGGTAATCATCGTTAGGAGAACCAGGTGTCTGGAGGGGCAGCTAGTGGGGAAGCTGGAAGGTACTGTAATAAGGGAAAACAGACACCAGGTCGGCAGCCATAAATCTGGAGTTTAGGTCTGCTTGTGACATTATCTTGCTGTGTGACTTCAGGTAAGTCATTGCCTCTCCTGAACCTACTTTTCCACATTTAAAAGTAGGCAGTTAAGCTCACCATGATCCCAGTTTTAATACAGAATCACAGCGCTCTGGGCAGTGTCCGGCAGGATGAGGTCAATTCCAAGCTGGGCTCTGTGGCCTGGAGCACAGGGTTGGGGATATGTGGGGTCCTAGTACCTGGGGTGACCCCTCCTGCCTCTTTTCCCTAGACATTGCTGTGGGGGCTCCGTTTGATGGCTTGGGCAAAGTGTACATCTACCACAGCAGCTCCAGGGGACTCCTCAGACAGCCCCAGCAGGTATGGAAGGATAAGGGCAGAGGGGCCTCCCCTCCTTTCCCTCATCTACCTGCCCCCCACTATTCCCCCTTGGCCCCAATCCCAAGAGTTTACCCTAGAGCCTGTCCCCACTGCTTCCCCCTGCCCCCAGGTAGTCGATGGGGAGAAGCTGGGACTGCCTGGCTTGGCCACCTTCGGCTACTCCCTGAGCGGGCGGATGGACGTGGATGAGAACTTCTACCCGGACCTGCTGGTGGGGTCTCTGTCAGACCGCATCGTGCTGCTGCGGTGAGGCAGGGCGACAGTGGTTAGGGGCCTTTCTCTCCTCCAACTCTTTATGCATGGAGCCCCATCTCTGTCCACCTTTGGCACCAGGTCCACACAAGCCTGAACCCTGAACCCTGGCCCAGGCCTTTGCCTGGTCTGGGGCAGGCAGGAGGCACTGATGTCTGTGTGTTTTGTATATAGGGCACGGCCTGTCATCAACATCCTCCATAGGACCTTTGTGGCCCTGCCATCTGTGCTGGACCCTGCACTTTGCACAACCACCTCCTGGTGAGACTCCAGTTCCTGCTCTACCCACCCACTCCTCCATCCCCATAGGCGGGCAGGACCCTGGCTCCCAAACCCCACCCCTGCCAATCCCTGATATCCCATCATTAGGAGGCTGATGCTGAGCTAAGCACTGCCTTCCCTACCTGACCTCATTAAAAAGCAAAATTCCTTGCAGGAGGTAATGGACAAATTGGGCAGCAGTAGGACATGATAGTTAGGAGAGGGAGCTCTGGATGGCCTGGTTCAAATCCCAACTGTGCCCACTGCAATGGTAGGAGTGGGCTCCAGGGAGTGAGGCCCCAGGTGAGGAGGGAAGAGGGACCCTTAAGCGGAGGGATGTGAGGAAAGAGACAGAGCCACTTTGGGCAAATTATTAATTTCTCTGAGTCTCAGATTCCTTGCCTATAAAACAAAGTTAATAATAATAACCAATTCATAGGGTTATTGTAATCAATATATACAAAAAGCTCTTAGCATGGTAGCCTCTACACCTTAAGTGCTCAAAATATGTTAGTTGCTAAGAGGGTGACAGTTGCTATGGTAATGACCTCAAGGTCTTTGTGTAAATGAGGATATTGAATCTATAGGCAAAGGGAGACAGAGTAGGGAAGCGTGGGGTTGTGGGGAAGGAAGGAGATCTGGACTGGTGATCCTGCACAAGTCTGGGCTGAGACACCAACTGACTAATGACTTCAGGCAACTTGTTCTGCTCTCAGGGCCTCAGTTTCCCCTTTGGTGACCTCTAACCCTGTTTTCTATGAGTGACTTTAATGGGAGTGGGGAAGGAAGGGGCCAGGGATACCCTAGACCAGCTTCATGGACTCCCCAGTTTGGCCCCTGCCTTTCCCTCTAAGGGCCCTGGTTTCCTCTTGCCCACTACAAAGGATGAGACCTAGGGCCAGGATATTTGGGTCGCATGGTGACCAGGTCCTCCTGTATGTCCCTGCCCCCAACAGTGTGCAGGTGGAGCTGTGCTTTGCTTACAACCAGAGTGCTGGGAACCCCAACTACAGGCGAAACATCAGTGAGTGTTGGCGTGCAGGGTGTGGGGGCCACACTGCCTGGGTCACTTGCTGATCACCCTATCCACCCCCAGCCCTGGCCTACACGTTGGAGGCCGACCGAGACCGTCGCCCACCCCGGCTTCGCTTTGCCCTCAGCCAGTCAGCTGTCTTCCATGGCTTCTTCTCCATGCCAGATATGCGCTGCCAGACGCTGGAACTGCTCCTGATGGTGAGGGAGGGGCAAAGGGTAGGACATGAGCTCCACAATCCCTGAGGAGGTAGAGTCCCCCAGGTAAGGGTGAGGGACTGGGGTCTCCCCAGAGACGGAGATGGGGGAGGTTGGCCTAGAAGGCCAAAGCCTGCAGAGGGTCTAGTGCACAGCACCCAGCATGGGGAGGAGAGACCCTCAAGTGGGCATAGGGTCAAAAGGCTCAACACCTCTGAAAAAGTGAGTGGTGTGAGTGTTGGCTCAGCTCACCTCGGGGGGAAATGAGTGAGGGGCAAGCTCAGCCCCTCTGGGACATCAGGGTTGAAAGGGAGCACTCAACTTGGGGACCCCAAGGATAAAGGGAGGCTCACCCACCCTCCCCCAGGGAACTCTGAGGAGGAGGAGCCCCATCTCCTGGCTTGTGAATCAGGTGATACAGGAAAGGGGACAACTTGATGATTGAACAAAAGGGTTTTCAGGCCTACTGGGAGGAGCTTCAGGGTGGCAGGGGCCTCAGCGTCTCCTGGAGGTTCAGGATAGTGTGAGGATTCAAGTAGGCGGGGGTGGGTGGGGGAGCAAGCAATGTAGAGCTGGGCTTCGCTCATTCTCCTTACTCAGGACAACGTCCGCGACAAACTCCGTCCCATCATCATCTCCATGAACTACTCCTTACCTCTGCGGATGCCCGACAAGCCCCGGCTGGGCCTGAGGTCCCTCGATGCCTACCCGGTCCTCAACCAGGCGCAGGCGCTGGAGAACCACACCGAAGTGGGTGGGCCTGGGTCCGGGAGGGCCGTGGGGCGCGAGGGCGCCGTGCGTGGTGGTCCCTTCATGCCGCTGGCCACCCCCAGGTTCAGTTCCAGAAGGAGTGCGGGCAGGACAATAAGTGCGACAGCAATTTGCAGATGCAAGCGGCCTTCGAGTCTGAGCTGGGGCAGCGGCTGAGCAGGTGCGCTCAGGGCCGCCCCAATGGCCAAGGGTGGGGCGGAATATCCTTGGCTAACGGGACTGAGCGACGGAGCCCTACCGGTCAGGGAGGTCCCAGGGGCGGGGGAAGATCTGGGGGGAGGGGCCCCAGGAAGAGGCGAGTCTGAGGGGAGAAGCTAATTTAATTGGTCGGTAGGATGTGTAAGGCCGGTCTTCGCAGCCAGAAAAAGGGCTTTCTTCACCTAGTAGGCCGGAGAGGCGGGGCCTAGTTGATTTGGGGGGGGTCGTCGGGGCTTTGGGCTCAGGCCGGGGCTCCTCCCTCTCAGGCTCCAGTACAGCAGAGACGTCCGGAAACTGCTCCTGAGCATCAACGTGACCAACGCCCCCAGCCGGAAGCGGGCTGGGGAAGATGCCCACGAGGCCCTGCTTACCCTGGAGGTGCCCCCCGCCCTGCTGCTGTCCTCCGTGCGCCCCGTGAGTGCCCTTCGCCCAGCTTAGCCCAATTAGGGCTCCAGTGCTTGTTTGCATCCTCATATGCATTTCATTTACCTGTGCTGTCATTTGCCGGGTGTCCCACCCCAGCCCTTATGCGCTGGACCACCTCAAGTGACTGTAGCATCTCGGCTGCTGGGGGAACCCATTTTCAAGCTTCTAGGGCTTCAGACCCTGTGCCACAGGGGAGGGGCAGGACAAGCCCTGCTCCGACCACTCAGACCCGATTCATCTTCTTTCCTCAGCCTGGAGCCTGCCAGGCCAACGAGACCATCGTTTGTGAGCTGGGGAACCCCTTCAAAAGGAACCAGAGGGTGAGCGCTAGCCACACCTTCCCAGCTCTGTAGCTCCCAGGCTGCTCATCTGATGAGCTCCTTATCCTGGGCGCTTCTCGGCTTCCCTGAAGCAAAGAATCAGGTTCGAGCGGTGGGGCAGGGAGAGACAATAGGGGTGGGGCAAGAGACCCAGAGACTGAGAAAAATGGGGCCACTAGGGAGCTGGGCACAAAGAACAGGCGGAGGTTAGGAAACCAATTTAGCCGAGCTCCTACTATGTGCCACATCCCAACCAAGCCCAACACTTGGCTGCCTTCATATAACACAATTATCACGATCTTCTGAGGAGGTAGGTGCTGTTTTACAGAAAGGAAACACAGGCATAGAAAATTTCCATAATTTGCTCAAGGCCACGTAGCTGAACTGTAGTGTAGATGTCATTGACAAGAAGGTGAGAAGGGAGCAAAGGATGGGGCTGGGATGGTGAGAGTGGAGACTGCTAGGGAGTAGAGGCCAGAGAACCAACACCCCAGGACAGTATTCAGCCCCTCTCCACCCTGCCTGGCCCCAAATGCCCCTCTTGGTCTCCCTGACCCTCATGGCAGATGGAGCTGCTCATCGCCTTCGAGGTCATTGGGGTGACCCTGCACACAAGGGAACTCCAGGTGCAGCTGCAGCTCTCCACGTAAGTGACCTGAAGCCTGCCCGTGTTGGGGTGGAGGTGTCCTGGGTCCTTCCCCAGTCCAGCCTCAGCCGACACAGCTCCTCCCCTCCCCCGTGCCTTCTCTCTCCAGGTCAAGTCACCAGGACAACCTGCAGCCCGTGACCCTGCCTCTGCTGGTGGACTACACACTCCAGGCCTCACTCAGCATGTAGGTACTGCCCCACACCAGTCGCCATGCCTGAGCTAGGGCCTCCCTGTCCTCAACATGTCTCTCAAGCTCCTCTGACTCACCTCTCTTCACCGGGCATCCTCAGGCCTCTGCTTCCCCTGTTCCTCCTCCCTTGACAACACTGATCACCATCACTCTTGTTATTACTGTTCCCCTTGCAAAAAGCAGGCGACAGTGGAGGACTGAGCAACCCTGGGGCTAAGGCACTGGTATGGCCCCACCATTTCAGCATGTGCATTGTGCTGTGAATTTTATATACACCATCTCCTTGATTTCTCCCAACAGCCCCATTATACAGCAACCATTCCTAACTTCACTTTACAGATGAGGAAACAGGCTCAGAGAGAATAAATGGCATGCTTGAGGCCATACAGCTAGGAAATGGCACAGCTGGAATCTATCTCAGGTCTGCCTGATGTCAAAGGAGCTGTGGCTAACCAACAGTGGTCCCCATCCCCTCTCCCAGGGCCCCTCCTGTCCCCTATGACTCCAGCATCTTTCTTACTCCTAGGGTGAGTCACCGGCTACAGAGCTTCTTTGGGGGGACAGTGGTGGGCGAGTCTGGCATGAAAACCGTGGAAGATGTGGGAAGCCCTCTCAAATATGAGTTCCAGGTAAGCAGGCCTCTGGGATCCTGGGCAGGGGACTCCTGCGAAGGGTGATGTGGGGTTTCTTTCTGGGCTTGGGGTCCAAGGGTGTGAGAGTTGAGGGTTGGTTGAGATGGAGGTGGTTTTCCAGGAGACAGTGGTCATGACACTCTTTGTGCCCACAGGTGGGCCCAGTGGGGGAAGGGCTGGCAGCCCTAGGGACCCTGGTCCTAGGGCTGGAGTGGCCCTATGAAGTCATCAATGGCAAGTGGCTGCTGTACCCCACGGAGATCACTGTCCGCGGCAATGGGACCTGGCCCTGCCGACCACCTGGAGACCTTGTCAACCCTCTTAATCTCACCCTCTCTGTAAGGACATCATCAGGGACTTTTCATTTGCATCTCATTTGCATTGCACCTCATTTGCGTGCTGCAAGGCAGAAAAGCCAATGTCTTCCCTTCCCCCACAGGCACACCTTTGGGAGCCTGCCTCTCCCTCTGCCCTTTATTTCTTCTCTCTCCACAGCTGCTCCCACTCCTTCCAGCAAATTTCTCTTCCCTCTTCAGGTCTCTGGGGACAGGCGGACATCTCCACAGCGCAGGCGACGACGGCTGGATCCAGGGGGAGACCAGGACCTCCCACCTGTCACCTTGGCTGCTGCCAAAAAAGCCAAGTCTGAGACCCAGCTGGTGAGTGGCCAGGATTAGAGAGGATGGTGCTTTGTCACAGGGAGGGTGGCCACCAGGGGACACATGAATCAAGGGAGATAGGTGCTACTCACCAGGAGACCCAGGTCTGATGAGGTGACGTGGCCCCACCCTCAGAGGCCCCCAGTCCTGCCCTTAGAGGACACCCCTCTGCCCTTGTCCTTGGGGAACAGACAATGCAGTGGACCAAAGGAAGAGACACTGGCTCTATTCCCAGGAGCCCCAATCTGCTGGGGGCAATATAGCTGCTCAAAGCCTTAGACATTAGGGCTGGGGAATGGGGTGAGGCAGGAAGACATGGGGAGTGCAGGGTGCCCTCTGGCGGAAGAGAAGGGAAACAGGCCTGGGAAGCAAATCGAGACAGCTGGGTAGAGAGGTAGGTAGTGGTCTCCGAGAGGGAGGGAGCTGGCATGAATAAAAACTCAGTGTAGAACAGGGTTGGGAAGTGGGTATTTAGCAGTGGGCCCCCCTCACAGGAGCAGGGGTCAGATTTCATGTTATCTGTAACCCTGGCATCTATATATTTGGCTTAAAGAATGTGCCTTAAATGGATAAGCGTATATGTGTGGAGGGGGTGCATGAGTGCAGGGGTGAGGCCCCTTTGGGTCAGCCATGAGTGGGACAGAGCCAGGGAGGAGTCGAAAGTAAGGGATGAAGCATGGAGAATCTGGAGACCCAGACTGTGTCATGCCCCATGTTCCCTGCCCACCTCAGAGCTGTGGCAGCGACCGCACCCGCTGTGTGTGGCTGGAGTGCCCCATTCCTGATGCGCCCGTCATCACCAACGTGACAGTGCAGGCACGAGTGTGGAACAGCACTTTCATCGAGGTCGGTGTCTGGGTCTGAGGGCTTCATTGCCACCCACTCAGGTTGGGAGAACGACAGGGAGGGTGAGGCCATGATCACAGCAAGGACACGTGCGTGTGCATCAGTTAGCATCATGTTTTATGCATGACAGGTTGTGTACCTGTCACTGTGTATCTGTCAGGGTTAGTTTGTGTGTCTGTGTGTGGATATGACATAATATTTGTCTCCAGCTCAAATGACCTTCTCTCGTGTCAGTTATCCCCCACCCCGACTGCCTTTCCCGGTGCTATTCCTCCCGGCCCCCACTGAATGCCAGCTTCCCCTCTGTTACCTCTGCATGTAAACTCCTGTTCAGTCTTCAGGGTCTCCCTTAGACGTCTCACCACCTGTGAGGTCTTTTCTGATGTTTCCAGATGAAAATGACTCCTCCTTCTCTGGGCACCTACAGAACTTTCTCAGAGCCACGCCTGTCACTTACCACTTAGCTACTCTGGGTTGCAGTTACTCGCCAGCCTGCTCACCACCTAAACCAAACTTTTTCTATGGTTGGTTAGATTATAAACTTTTCAGCTTTGTGGGCTGTACGGTTTCTGTTGCAACTACTCAACCCCACCATTGTAGCAGAAAACTGCCCCAGATAACATGTGAACAAATGGGTGTGGCCGTGTGCCGAAAATATTTACAAAAGCAGGTGATGGGCTGGATTTAGCCCACAGACCTGACCTAGATGGTGACCTTCATTGTGTCTGCGATCCCTCGCATCCATCACAGGACCTGATGCACAAGGGAATGAATGATGGTGCATTTGTGTGAGAGGCTTGGCTGTCACATCCTTTGGGGTGCTGCTTAAGGATGCTGTGTGGTGGGGATGCTTTGGGCCCAGAGGGAGGTTCAGAGGAGCTTCAGCAACTCCTTTGACATACCTCTTTCCCACCCTCAGGATTATAGAGACTTTGACCGAGTCAGGGTTGCCAGCTGGGCTACGCTGTTCCTCCGGACCAGCGTTCCGACCATCAACATGGAGAACAAGACTGTGCGGGTGAGTGAGTGTGCTAAGTGGCAGTCCCCGCCCAGGGTGTGGGGGCTCAGGGCAGCTCTTCAGAGTACTTTCATGCACTCTAGCTATGTGTGGCCCAATCTTGGCAGCACCTTGGAGTCCTCTGGAGGATTTCTGGTGTCTGGACTGTACCCTCGAGCAAGACATCTGTGTCTGTGGAGGTGGGACCCTGGTACTGGCATTACCCTGGTGATTCTAATGAGCAACCAGGGATGAGAAAACCTCTCCTTGAGTTTATTTGATCCTCACAACATCTCTGCAAAGATGTTCCATCTCTATGGAAACTTGAAAAAAAAAGGTTCCCAAACTTGATTCTGAGTTACATCTGGAAGAGTAAATATGACAGAATTGCTAATAATTTGTTGTGAAAAGGATATAAGTGGGCATATGTAAGAGATACACAGAGGAGATGAATGGAGGGTTGATTATATATGTAATGGTACATTTCCTAAAATAAACTAAGGAAGTGAAGGAAGGGCCAGAGAGACTAATGGAATGGAATATAAATTTATTTTATTTTACAGATAGCATTTATAATCAGGAAGGGAGATTATTAAGTAGTGTTCAGAGAACACATTTAGAAAGTAAAGACAAATCTCTGTCTCACACCATAAAAATATGTATGAGTTAGATTACATAAACAAATATAGGTAATAAAACCTAATGTGCCAGAGGAAAATTCAGAAAACAATTTAATAATGATCTTTAATTTTGGGGAAAGGGAGTTATTTTATTAAACCTAGAAATCACAAAGGAAAAATTTGATAAGTTAGACTATGAAATTTTAAATATACTGCAAAAGAGGTGGCCAGAAAACTGAAAGGGCAAATGATAAAGTGCTTTTTAAAAAACTTTATACCATATATTATATGCCAAGCATTGATACAAATTTTAATATGTAAAGATAAAGGGCAGCTTAAAGATAAATAGGCAGTGTACATCAGGTGAAATAGAAATGTTCAACTCAATAGTAAAGAAATAAAAATGACAGCAAGAAGAATTAAAGAATAATGCTGTCTGGTGCTGATGAGATAGAAGGAAATGCTACTGATGGGAGTATAAGTTGATGGATTCTTTTTGGAGATGAATTTGTCAAATGTTCATTAAAATTTTAAATGCATATTTCCTTCGATCTTGCACATGATAATATATCTTAAGGAGCTAATTGGACAAGAATGTGAACATAAATATATGGGGGGTATTTTAAAGCATTGTTTATACGGCATAAAATTGGAAACAATCTAGTATTTTTCAGTAGGCAATTGGTTCAATAAATTATGGTATATTTCCTATAATGACCATGCAGTCATCAAGAGATTAGGTTGATCTTTATTAATTGACATCAAAAGATGCTGATAGTAAGTGAAAAAGAAGGGTTGCAGAAGAAAGTATGTAGTACACATACATCTCATTCACGTGGAAGAAAAAAGTGTATGATATGTTTAACATATGCATTAAAAACATGGGAAAAGATTCACCACAATGTTGAAGATAGTTATTTCTAGGAAGTAAAATTACTGGGAGCCTTTAACTTTCTGTATATCATGTGTATTTTTAAAAGATAATCAAAATAATTATTAAGAAATCATGTATAGTCAGAAAAAATTTATATATATTCAAAAATATTATGAAATATAATTTTATATTATAAAAATATACAAGTATATAGATTATGTTAAGCATTAAAATGTAATATATTTATAGATAATATAAATATATATTTATCACCATTGTAGGGGAAGAAAAAGAATGATACTATATGTTATGCATTTTTTGCTTTTTTGTAAATATTTATGGAGTGCGTGCTGTATATCTTTCAAAGCAGTTTACTCATATTAAACATATTTAATCCTCCCTAGCAACCTTTGAAGTAGGTATTATTATCACAATCCCTGATTTACCAATGAACTACAGAGAGGTTAAGTGATTTGCCCAAGGTCACACAGCTAGTGAATAGCACAGCTGGGACTTGAACCCCCAGGTAGTCTGGTTCCAGAACTCATCTTTTGGCCACTTTGCTATCCTATGAGGCAAGCATTATGATCCCTTTAGCAGAGAGCATGAAATGGAGATTCAGAGAGGGAAAATTACTTGTCCAGGGTCACACAGCTCATTCAAAATAGAGCTGGTACCCAAGCCTGGATGTGTGGGTCACAAACCCAGGCTCCAGACTTGCCTGCCAGATCTGAGGCTGCTCCTTTGAAACCAGATTTGCACCCAGGGGAAACCAGAGGATGGATGAATTGCTGTTGAGAGTGGGCAAGCAGGAACTTTTTCCAGTCCCTGAGTGCCCCCTACTGGCAGTAAGTCAAACAGCGGGGGCCTGGGCCCAGCTGGGACAAGAAGAGCACGGGGCCTAAGGCAGCAGATGGGGCCTAAGGCAGCAGACGCAGGGCTGAGCTCCTTCTCACTCCCTGCAGTTCTCCGTGGACATTGACTCTGACCTCGTGGAGGAGCTGCCAGCTGAGATTGAGCTGTGGCTGGTGCTTGTGGCTGTGAGTGCCGGGCTGCTGCTGCTGGGGCTGATCATCCTCCTGTTGTGGAAGGTTAGGACTCCAGCCACCACCTGGACTCGAGCTCCAGAACTTCCTGCCAGTGAACCCTCGCCAACTCTCCCTCCATCCCATGCCTCACTTCCATCCCACCTGCACCCTTCTGCCCTGTCCTCCAACCTTCTCCCCAGCTTCCAGTCTCACCCCCACCCCATCCTCACCTTACCCACTGGGATGCTCCTGCCTGGGTTAATCGGGTAGCCTGCAAGCTGTCAAGGGAAACACAGGCGCTCTGGCTTCTGGCCACACCACCAAGCTGGGGCTGGGGCCCAGGCATCCAGGCTCCCCAGCCCTAAGCCCAGTCCATGAGTGCTGCTGACGAGGCACCCCCAGCTCCCCCTGATGGCCCCTCCCCACCTCCTCCCCTCCGCAGTGCGGCTTCTTCAAGCGAGCCCGCACTCGCGCCCTGTATGAAGCTAAGAGACAGAAGGCGGAGATGAAGAGCCAGCCGTCAGAGACAGAGAGGCTGACCGACGACTACTGAGGGGGGCAGCCCCCTGCCCCCAGCCCACCCGGGTAACGCGGCCTCCGGGCCCTCTTCCCCAAGCCCCACAGCTGGCTCGGGCCTCTGACTCTGCCCTACTTGCTCCTCCTTTATGGGCCCTCTCTGCACTTCACTCTGTCCCCTGAACCACCCCAAAAAGCAGGCCACTCTGTGCCTCCCCTCCATGCCCTGGGAGAGCTCTAGGTGTCTGCTCTCACCAGCCTCCCTGCTGAGCCCTCAAGGGCTGAGGACCTCAACAGGGAGCCATGAAGTCCTCCCCATGGCCTCTTTGCTTCCTAAGGATTGGAAAAGGGTCAAGGCCAGGGCTAGGCCTCACTAAGCAAATTTCCAGAGTGATTCTACCCCTCCATTCCCACCTCCACGGAAGGAGGGGACTCATAGAGTCCTTCCTCTGGGGAACCAGCACTTTTCCTCCTGGGAGCCCCTCGGAGGTAAAAATCTGATCCCTCCCAACACTGTGGTCAGAGGAGACCACCACCCTTCTTGGCGATTCCGTCAGCAATCTCAGCGAGTGCTCCTGTCTCCATCTGCCTCCCCCTCCTCTCTGCTTTTCTCAACTCCTCCTCCAAGGCCTGGGGCGGGGAACCTCATCCTTCCTGTCTCAGCTGGCGTGCATTTGGGCTGGGGTCCAGAGTGAGGACCTCTGGGCAGGGAAGGAAGGGGTTGGCACATCTTCCCACAGGCTCCAAAGCTGGATGCTGACACCCTTCTTCTCCCCCAACTCCAGTGTGACTTCTTTAAGCGGAGGCACTATTACCGGATCATGCCCAAGTACCATGCGGTGCGGATCCGGGAGGAGGAGCGCTACCCGCCTCCAGGGACTACCCTTCCCACCAAGAAGCACTGGGTGACCAGCTGGCAGACTCGGGACCGATACTACTGACATCCTCCCTGACCCCACCCCTGCTCCTCCAGTGCCCCTTCTATTTATCATAAGCTATGCCCCTGACAGTCCACAGGGGCCACTGCCTTTGGCTGGCACCAGCAGGCTCGGGCACACGCTCTTCTTAAAGCTCATGCATGGGCGCCTGGCCGTGGGCTTCTTCCCATGGGAGAGCTGGGGCCATGGACCTTGCAGTGCCAAGCACACCGCAGCCCTGTGCCTTGGACACATGGGTCTCACTGCTTGTGGACTGTGCTCATACACCATGATGGTGAATGGACATGAGTGTCCCAGCCTCTGCCTGCACCAAAACCAAGCCAAAAGGCCTCCAATGTGGGGACACCTCCCCCATTCACACTGGACCCATCTTGAGCCATAGTCACTGGACTGACTCTATTATTGAGATGAAAACTACTGACAGGGAGCACCCCACCAGGCCCCCAGCTGCAGCGCCAGAGAGCAGTGGGCCTGCCTGAGGCGCTCTGAGGAGGCGTTGGCAGGGCCTGGCATGCTCAGACCCAAGAGCAGAATGAACTGGAAAAAAAGTCCTCAGGATGGCTTTCTTCCACGGATCTTTGCAAAGCCTCTCTCCTCAGCCACAGCCCTCACTGGCAAGGGGTGAGCTGCAGGAACAAAGATGGACAAGCCACTTGACAGCCTGATCTTGCTGTGCTGGGAGTGCCCTGGGATCCCCAACAGAGGAGGGGACCAGTCCTGGGCCAAGGAGATGTTGGAAGGATACAGAGGAGATACCTCCTCTCACCCACCACTACCATCCCGGCCTCTGAAGGCCTGGAGAGACCCCCACAAGATCACAGAGAGAGCGACACTTGAATGTAGAAAAGGGAGGTAGCCCTGTCCCTGCCCCATTGGCCAGAACCCACTCTACCCCCACTGACCATGACTTGGGGACCTATAAGTGAGAGATTCTTGGCTATTGGCTTTCAGAGCCAACCTGGCTGTGCCGCCTCCCCCATGGGCTGAGTCCTGAAAACCTAGAAGTTGGGGCTGGTTCCAGAAAACCTCTCCTAACCCCTGCCTACTGGCAGGCCTCCCCCTCCGGTCCCTGCCCTTCCACGGTACTGTAGCAGGGGAGTGCCCTCCCCCCTCCTTGTGCCTTCTTTGTATATAGGCTTCTCACACAACCAATAAACAGCTTCCAGTTTGTACACGCTGCCTCTACCTCCATCCACCCCCACCCCTTACCAATCCCAGTTCAGTCTGATGGGTAATGGTGTCATCTAGCTGACCCCTGGGTGGACAAAGCCAGGTGGATGGGTCTTAGAGGTAGGGACAGTGAAGATCAATGGGGAGATACCAGGCCTTGCTCACAGGGGTGCCCTCGTCTAATGGAAGGTCATGGACACATACTGAGATCCAAAACATAAAGTCAGGGAAAAAACCTGAGTAGCCTTGATAGAATCATCCAAAATGCCTTCCTGTTGGACAGCGTGTTGGCCCTGGGGAGGGAAGAGGAGTAACCGTGGTGGTGGGCAGGATCTGGAAGAGGGAGCAGGCACCTTTGTTGTAGAAACAAGTAGTCCTGGATAATGGTCGAGGGAGGCTGGGCACAAAGGTGGAGAGCCAAGAGCCCTTATCCAGTGCTGAATTCAGATAAAAACATGCTTTTCTGCCTCAAATCCCACTTTCCCACCCCTGGGCACCATGATAGGTGGATCAGAAGGTGAAACAGTGACCCAAGGCTGGGAAGACTGAGATTGCAGAGGCCGGGTTCTGGAGCCCTAGTCTTGTGGCAGCACCCCCAGGTCAGCTTCAGTACTGAGCACGCAGAGTCCAAGCATTGCATCAGGCCCTCCACTTCCTCCACTAAGGTTGTCCCCTCCATGCAGGCCTGGAGCAAAGCAGCATGCTGCCTTCCCCATGACTTCCTTGTTCTAAATTGTGACACAGGTCCTTCAGTTAATTGTCCCAAAGGCTGTGACCGTCAGCAAGATTTCATGGAAGGCTGGAAATTACTACCCAGAGAAGCCTAGAAGTAGAGTTTTGATTCAGCTCTTTTGAGCCCACAGACCCAAGCCTTTCTAGAAAACCCTCCTGAAGTCTGCCTGGATGTCTCCAGCCTGCCTCACTGTGGCAGCTATCTGCCATCCACAGCTTCCACCGGAGCCCACCTGACAATCCTGGACCCCGTGCTCCCACCTCAGCACTCCCTCCTCACTGCCCACTCACTTTCTGTGCTGGGATTGCCCCTTCTTAGGTGGATTGACAGTGGAATGCCCAGTTCCTCTAGGAAAATCCTAGCCCCTACCCAGAACTCCCAAAAGTAGTAATGGGAGACCTCAGTTTATTTTCCAGAATATGGGTCATTCACTTGGTCAGAAATAACACATATAAGTTGGCAAAGCCCAGCTCAGGTTGAGTAGAGCACAATTCAGCTCAGTCCTGTGCTTAACAGCCATTTCCTGCTTAAGAAAAAGGTGGGGTCCATACAACCCGCTAGCCAGCTTCACAAGTCCAGTCTGTCATGTGTGTGCATGCGTGTGTGTGTGTGCATCCTCTTTTCCTTCTTTGTGCCAGATGCCATCCCTGGTCCTGGAGATGGTGTGGTAAATATGACAGACAGTCTAGTGGGGAAGAAAGATGAATCAGCAGACAATTCCCACTCAGTTATAAGAACTAAATGGTGCTAAGATCAGGAGGTGTAAGGAGCCCTTGGAGGGAGCCCATAACGCAGCCTGGCACAGGGACCTGAAGAATGGGCAGGTGAAAGTAAGAAGGAAGGATGATTCAGATAGAAGGGTCGGCGTTTGCAGTGGCTTAGGGATTGGAGACTGGTTCAAGACAGTAGGTATGTATGGCTGGGAATTGAGCAGGGAATATGGAGGGATGAGGATGGAGATTTAAGCCAAACCAGGTAGGCAGAGAACTGGACAGGCTACAGCAATTAGTGGAGAGCCATTGAAAGGTTGTGAGCAAGGGAAGTAACAAGTTAAGATTTGCAGTTGAGCAGGATCCCTGAGCCTCATTGTCCTCATCTATAAAATGGGGATAATAATAGCACAATAGAACTGTCTGGAGAATTAAATGAGATAATGTATGCAAACAGTGCTTGGCAGGTAGGCAATTAATTCATTCAGCTGAGATTCTTTTCATTGTGAAGCCTTGTACATAGCTCAGTGTTAGCTAAAGTTACACTGTTGCAACTATTTAACCATTTAGTTATTCAGCCACCTCCCGAACTGAGAAATGACACGACCTAAGGTTAAAGACCATGTCTTAATCCTGTTTTTGTTCCTGTTTCCAGCACAAAGCACGTATTAGGTACCTGTTGAGTGCGGGCCAAACGCTCAAGGGGCAAGTCGGGGGACAGGACATACCACGTTCGACCACAAGAGGGCGCGCTGCGTTCCTACCAGAGAACTGGGCTGCTGGGGAAAGGTGGGCTCCGCGACCCAGCGCAAACCACCTTCCAGGACCACTCTTTGAGGAAGCCCAGTGCGAAGAAGCGTGCTTTCTCAGGTCAAATTTGTGAAGTGATTAAAGTTTTCAGTGTTGAAAAGTGCACTCACAGCACCGATGGTAGACACTGCCTCCATCCCCGCTGTTCTTTTGTTTGGGTTTGACTCTGGGTGTTTTTTAATGGAAAATCAAAATGACGCCTTTTCCTGATCCGCTTGCATCTTTGTGGAAGTGGGTACTGCACATGACCCCGAAGTGTGCAAAACTTCACAGTCCGAGCCGCTGTCACCCCGGCTGGGAACCCATCAGATCTCTGAGAGCAGATTAGGGATCAGGACAGGTCAAACAGGAAAAGGTTTCGTTGAAAGAGACCCGGAAAATTTCAGGGAAGGCAAGTGATGGAGACTGGGGAAGGAGCGGGGAAAGGAAGGGTCCGGGGAGGGAGGGGTTAACTCGGGCTCGGCCCCGCGAGGCGGAAAGGGCGGAGTGAACGCACGCGAGGCTAGCCCGTGGCGCAGCCTCCAGAAAACAACAGGCCTTCGGGGCACAGACGGGGTTAAGGGGGCGGGCCCGGGAGAAGCCACGTGCCGGGGCGAGAGGCTATTGGCTCGCCAGAAGTTGTTTGTGAGCGGCCATTGGCAACGTCGGGGCGCCGCGGAGAGCCGGTTGGCCGGGGCCTAGGGCCGCCAGGGCCGGGTAGAGGGAGGAGGCAGCCGAACCGCGTCGCTGGGCCGGGCTGGGCCGAGCCGAGCGCCAGCGATACTTGTTCGGCAACCGGAGCCCGGGCCCGAACTGCGGCCGCCGCCGCCATGCGCTGGATCCGCGCGCTGCTGAAGAATGCATCCCTGGCAGGAGCGCCCAAGTACATCGAGCACTTCAGCAAGTTCTCCCCGTCCCCGCTGTCCATGAAGCAGTTTCTGGACTTCGGTATGGAGTGGGCGGGAGACGGCTGGCCACAGGGGCCCTCGGGAGCCGGGTTAGAGTGAATGAACGGGCCTGACAACGGAGGATTAACCGGAGGAGAAGAGAGGCCCTGAGTGACAGGGAAGGGTTGCTTGGAGTGGTACGGGCAGGAAAGGGTTAACGGGGAGGCAGGGACCGACCCTGAAAGGGTTAAGGGTGCCCTGGCTGTACAGACACTCGACTGGACTGTGAATGAGGGCGAGGTGGGGTGGACTGGGAAGGAGGGGTCCAAGGTGTCTTCCTGAGCTTTGGGAGGGGTCTTAACAGAGTAAGGGTCAGTAAGGCGTCATGTTAGGGCAGGAAGGGAGTAGGGTGTATCCAGGCCTAAAGAGTTAATGGGGGCTGTCTGGGTGACTCAGAATGGGGAGCAGAGAGTAAGTGCCAGGGAGTGCTGGTGGGGGTACCAGGCATAGTTGGGAGTTGCAGCCATCTGGAAGGAGACTTGAGCTGGCCTGGGCACCCAGGGGTCCGCTGGGAAAGGGGCTCTTTCAGAAGACACCAGCAGGAGAGAGACTGACCAGTATAACTCCACCCCTGAAGGAGCTGGCCCCTAGCTGTCCCAGTGGGCAAGGACAGTTGAAGATCAAATCTCCAACCTGTCTGCCTGTCTCCAGCTAGGCAAGGGGCCCAGGACACCATGAGGCAGAATCAGGAGGCATGCACCCACTCTTGTCTTCCCCGGGTTCCTGGGCCAGGTCTCCCACCACAAACATTCTAAGCAGGGGCAAGGCTGTGCCAACGTGGCAACTAAAACAGGCCTTGTGTGGGCCCTGTCTGCCCATAGGGTATTGCCATGGTGCCAGCCGGGAATTAGCAGAGGGTGCCCAGGTTGCTCTTGAGTTGAGGAGATGGTGCCTGGCTCAGGTTACAGCTTCATCACTGATGGTAGGTGGTGGGGAGGTGTAAGGAGGACACAGGGGCCACTGTTGCCAGGACTTGTCTGCCTATCTCCCTGCCCTGTTGAAGCTGCCCCATGTAGGAAAGCCTCCTGGGCCCTCCCTCATCCACCAGCAGCTACCCACCCCAGACTGGACCGCGATCACAGAAATGTCGTAGCTGGTTGGGGCTCATAGTAGAGTTTGGCTCACCTGTGGTGCAGTGGGGAAAACTGAGCCCCTCAGAAGGATGGTGACATGGTGTGGGTGACAGAGCTGGAAGCAGAACCTGGTCTAGAACCTAGGTCTCCTGACTCTAGGCCAGGGCTTTATTCAATCCTTTACCCCCTCGTCATCTCGCAGTCAGACCAAGGACCAAGGCATTTGGGTTCCCATCCTTGGGCCGTTTGCTTTACTGGTGAGTACTAAGGTAGGGGCAGCTCTGCAGTGGTCAGCAAGACCAGCCCAGACAACCTGGATGGACCATCCAGTCTGGATGGACTGGGGCCAGAGATGATGTGGGGACCCTGCAGCCGCAGTGGCCCAGATAGCTCCCCTCAGCCAGGGCCCAGCCCAATGGACTTCCCAGGCTCCTCTGCCCACCTGGATCAACCCACCAAAGTAAGTGTCTTTTGAGAGGCAAAGAAAGAGAGGAAATGAGGTAACTTAGGCCAGAGGCAGCTGCAAGTAGGCCTGGGAGTGGCCCTGTCCCCTGTGGTTGGAGACAAGCAGGGTTCGGCTGGAGATGTAACCTTCCCACTGGTTGTGTGGGGTGGTGTGGAGGTCAGAGTCCTGCAGGGGATTAGGAGAGGTGCCTTGTTCCCCATCCATGATCGCTCCTCTGCATCCTCAGGGAAGGAAGGATTTAGTCGACCTGACTCTGGTTCTGAGGTTTGCAGCTCTGTGGGCTC